TACATTGAGGGTTCATGACTGGGTGTAAGGCACACCTTTCTTTTTGGGTCAATGAGTAATATCGTACATACTGTAGTGTACAACTCACATTCTCAAGAAACCAGAAAAGGTAGTGGCATGCAGATTAAATAGGACTCGAATTTTATTGTGGAAACCTGTGTCTAGGTTCTCTATTGAAATTTGGTATAAGGGAAGAAAAGATGAGAGAAGACAGGTTGAAGGCTTTACACACTCACCATGGCTTTATACTGAATAAGGCTTCCCACCTTAAAGTTTCACACCCAACAATCAGCAATTATTTTTCACCCAATTTTCATCTAGAAGAGATAATACAAAAATCAGTATTTATAGCTCCGAGGATCCAATTTACATAGGAATAAAAGTCCTAATTATAACTAAATTAAAATTTTGGACAAATTAAAAAATGAAATCAATAATTTACTAAAATTTCTTGTGAGGTCAATACTAAAATTTCTAAATAAAGCAATTAAAATCATAATCAAAATAAAAAATGCCTTCAGTCTAACATGAGCAACTCACATGTTAACCCTGATTAACTCACAACTCAAACGCCATAACAAACATGAGTAACTCCCAAATCACAACCGACATGGATAACTCAATAATCTACTAAGAAGCAAATAGAACAAGTTTCTACTAGTACCAGTGTTGGTCATGTTTAAAGCAAGCAAATGAACTTATGCAATCATCCTGCGAAAGAAGAGAGGATCTATAATGATTCATAAAGTAGCGCTAAAGTAGCAGATATATTTCTAGGATCCATTTCTGGATTTAGTAAATATGGAATATGATTTAATGATCTAAATCTAAAAATTTAAAACTCTGTTGTCAGGACCCATTTCCACCATAGCTATAAGACCTCTTAGGTTTTCACATTTTTATTTGGTCATTTGTATCAAAACTACCTATTTATGTGCTTGAGGTAGCTGGGAAAAGTATTTGTGTTCAGTTGATGGCCTAATAGCAGTTTTGTTCATGAAGACCTTTGACCCTTGCACTCTAGCACGCATCGTTATAGCACAAAATACACTTCTTTTATTGGCAAACCTTTTACTATTGTCCACCTTTCTCTTGTTCATTCTCTCTCTCCAGGGCTTATCGTGCATTTTACATCCTCAACTGGATCTACCGCTACTTCTATGAGGCACATTATACTCGCTGGATACGTAAGTATACGAGTCAAAAAAGTTTGATTTCTTTCGATTACAAACTTTCACCTTTTGAATGAGGAAACATGACACTGATTCTTTGTTTTCTAGCTTGGATAGCGGGTTTCATCCAGACTGCTCTCTATGCTGATTTCTTCTATTACTACTATCTAAGGTTAGATATCTAATCCTGCTCTATATGCTGATTTTCTTCTATTACTACTATCTAAAGTTAGATATCTAATCCTACAAACAGCCTTCACTGGTCTATTATAACGCTAGGGGTCTTCACTGAAGCAATTACTCATCTGCTTTGTTTTGATTGTTCGCAGCTGGAAAAACAATTCTAAGCTTCAACTGCCAGCTTGAGCGGGATACCTTCAATCTGTTGTTCAAGAGGTAATGCAGCTGGAAACTGTATGTTAGTTTTATGAGGATTCAGGCTGAAGGATACAGAATCATAGTTAGGATAAATCGGAGCGAGGATCTTAGTTTATGTTGTTGTCATTAACTGTAAAACCTGATTTTTAGTGTCATCTATGTCAACATGATAGTTTCACAATGAGGAGGAAGAGAAATGTGCATACTGATGGATTTCTTGAGGAAGAGCTTTTGATGGGTGGTTTTGTGAATTTTTCTCAGATGTTAACACAGTAGGTTTTAAAAGCAAGGCCAATAACTCATATTAGGCACCTCTGCTTTTCATTTATTTTTCCTGTGAGCGCACTCTGATGATAGCTTTCAGTGCATGCATACAAGCTGGTTCAGGTAATTCTTCAGCTGCAGAGAAAAGCAGGACCTCACTTTTTCATAACTTCATGCGGGGAAGAAAATTCAGTTGAATCTCTGTAGAGAATCATGCAGGAGGAGCCGTATCTCAACACTTTTATCTCCCAGCTACAATCATAAAATTCGTGGCTAATAACCAGTTAGTTTTATTTTATTTGTGTACCTGGACGTTTAAGACATTTATGACAACAACAAAGCATTTATCATCCTAAATGTTTGAGGTCGGTTACATGAATCCTATTCCTCATCCTAAATGTTTGAGGTCGGTTACATGAATCCTATTCCTCGATTCTGTTCAATCATGGGCTAAGAAGTTTAGACTGAGATAAATGTCAAGATCTGATTCCTCCACGTATACTTTTCTATATAAGATTTTCCCCACTTCCTTAAGCTGCACACGTACAATTGAGTAAAAGTAAGAACCCCAAAGTTGATAAATTCTCTGCGTGCCAAAATTAAAGGTTGATTGATGCATGACAAAACTCAATTACAGCTGTGGTAAAAATTTATAGAAATATGGCCGTAGTTGTATCTGTTTATTTCGCAGTACGCGCAAAGTGATTTGTACTTGAACTGATCATAAATCATTTTGATAAAAGATGTATTAATTTTGTAATTTTCGTTGTAATCTCTACCAAGTCAAACCTGGATGTAACATAAGTCGAGAAGATAATTGATAGGTTAACATTCTTGTAAAAACAAATAAATAAATAAATAAAACTCTATGAACTCATGGGTTTTGAACATAACCCCCCCAGCTATTTATCTCATGAAACGCCTAGAACTGTGTGGGTCTTACAAAACTCCTCTAAACTTCCAAATTCTCATCGGACTTCGTATGTGTAATTGATAAATAAGTAAAATGTTCTTAAGAGGGGAAATCTACAATTAGAAGAGAGGGTATATCATCTCTAAATGACAAATGATTAGATTCAGTTAGTTCCTAAGGTTAAGGTGGTTTTTATGAATTAACCCCATAAAAAGCATGGAAACTGGAAACAAATTTTGCTTCAAATTCTTCTCTTTTACATGATTTACACTTTAAAAAAACCTACAATTATACCATTTGTGCACGTAATAAAGATTTCGTGTTGGTCAGTAGAAGTTTCAATCGCACACGCAAGCCTCTGCGAGCGCAATAAAAAGCCTGCAATGCAGAAGCTGGATACAGACCATTCTCCGTCAAGTATGAACGCAGCATAAGCGTCATACTTTTTACAAGATGATATGCGTACGTGAAAGCAACACTTCATATAGTTTTTTATTTAAGGCATTATCTCCAATTGTTAACTTGTAATAGATTATGTTTCAAACTTTGATCACTAAATCAAATCTCAAATGGTTACGTGGACATGAGTCACGTGATGTTATTCAATAGCCGAATTCTATTATTTTTTTTACCTGTATACCCCTTAAATCATGCGTATTGGCAAAAAAAAAATCTAAATATCAGTATTTGCAAAGAATACCCTCAAATCACCATCTTTGGGTGGGAGGGGGTCTTCCATCCAAATCAACAAATCAACAACTTCGATAGGCTAATGTAGAACTACAATATAAGAATGTCAACACATTACCAACTTTGATAATCTTACATTGCAATTACAATTAGTCTATACTACTTATAAAAGAGGATTGATGTGTTAAAACTTTTGATTGTTTATTTTACCCTTTCAAAATTTAATAATTTCCAATAATGCCTTGAAATTTATTCAATTCATTCCATTTATTGTACTATAATTATTCTTGCAATAAACATGAGAACTAATATTAAAATCTAAATATATATTATAAATTTTAATCATATTTTCCTTAAATTTTATTCAACTCATTCTATTTATTATACTATAATTATTGTTGCACTAAACGTAAAAACTATTGTGTCATAGAAATAAACAAGTGTTAATCGCATTCAACTTGTTAACACATGTCCCAAGCAGACTTATCCCCAACTCAATGTCAACAAACTAAAAGAAGAGTCATCCCGTCTCGCCAGGCCGAGTCATCCCGTCTCGCCAGGAGGCGTCCCTTCTTGCCAGGCCGAGTCGTCCCTTCTCGCCAAGAGGCATCCCTTCTCGCCAGGCCGAGTCGACAATTTACGAGATCGACTAAAAATGTGGTACTTGTCCCTTCTCGTCCCTTCTCGCCAGGCCGAGTCGACAATTTACGAGATCGACTAAAAATGTGGTACTTGTCCCTTCTCGTCAGGCCGAGTCGTTCCTTCTCGCCAGGAGGCGTCACTTCTCGCCAGGCCGAGTCGTCCCTTCTCGCCAGGAGGCGTCCCTTCTCGCCAAACCTAGACAAATGTCCCTTCTCGCCAGACCGAGTCATACCTTCTCTCCATGCGGCATCCCTTCTCGCTAAGATGAGTTGTCCCTTCTCTCCTGGCTGAGTCGTCCATTCTCGCCAGGTCGAGGCGTCCCTTCTCGCCAGACCGATTCGACCCTTCTCCCTAGGCCGGGTTGAAAGGCAATCATCATTGAGCTCCACGCCACCAGCCAGTCACCATCACGTAAACTGTATTGTTGGAGTCACCATTGCTCTAGCCCTCATATCCTTTATGACTCATCAAGCTCCATCAGCACCATGCTTCCTCTGTCACTATTACATTGATCACAAAAAGTGACTCATACCAGCCACAACTGACACATGTAAAGTAACTGCTGACTAAGCTGTCTGCTTGGACTTGACTGAAATTACAAAATTGTCCCTTTATACCTACTATAAATAGAGGGACTGTCTGCAGCACGTGGGTAAGCAATCTCTTGCTAAAAATACAATAGCTCGATCCATATTACTTCTCCACTTAAGCTTAAATTTTGACTTAATCGTCGGAGGAATTACCGGAGAACCCAACTTCGCTCCTCTAACATGTTGTTGTTTTGCAGGAAGCTCAACAGTCTATTGGGAGATCAACTATCAAAGGAGATCAAGGGACCCTAACACTTCCATATTCCACACATAAATCCCCTGTGTGATAACTGACGTCAATAAAACTTGATATATATTATAAATTTTAACTATATTAGTCTTATATTAAATAAGATAACTATTTCACTTTAGATATTAGATATTATACAATAAATAAATAATTTTAATACATAAAATAATAATATCATAACTTATATTTATAAATTATATTATAATTTAATATAATTTAATAATATTTAATTAAAATCTAACATCTAATCTAACACTATAATATAATGATATGTGCGTCTAGTGTATAAAAAATCTGTGGAGAGGAGTACTAATATAAATGTTAACCTCTTGGTGTAATTTAGAAATAGCATATAAATTATCATAATATATATTACTAACTATTACAATATACTTATCATAGTATTTGGATAGGAGGTAATTTTGAGCATGTGGAATTCCAAGCGGTGTGAAAAGCTACATTTGCTCTTGACATTAGATGTGGGAAGGTAATTTTTAAAGAAGATGCATATGTGCTAATTAGAGATATCCGTAATGGGTAGAGCAACACTTGATTTTTGGATACTTTGTGAATGATATATAGCAACATTTCACATGACTCGAGAAATGATATTTTCAGGTAGTTCATCAAATGGAGAATATAACAGCTCACTTGTTGGTTCGAAAAGCTAAGGAAATTAATGACTTTGTGGTATAGCTCAAAGACCCACCCATCAATTTTACACAATAGTTTATAGTCTGATAAGGAGCAGCATTAATCCACATTCTTTTGCTATACTTCTGGGTTTTCAGTTTAATTTGGATGTGTCCTAATATTTTTAATGAAAAAACTATTGCAATATAATAATTAAATCCTAACTAACAACGTAATTTATGACATCTCCCTTTCTCAACCTACTGATAATGCATTTAATATGAACACTAGTGAGGAAATGAACCCATAATTAATGCATTCATGTACATTCTCTTACTGACTAATCAAATTCTCTTCATTAATTATGCACTAATTATTTTACGACTAATCTACTTCCATAAACATTCTACTTGGATCTCGAGAGTTGTATAAAATTATGCTTTATATGAATGCTCAAATGCACAAAAGAAAACACGAAAAGAATCAAAAGAAAAAAAATGAAGGAAGTGAGAATTTTAATAGTGAGGTCAGTCCCTCGATTATAGTAACCAGGGTATCTCGCAGTCAATAAGATTTCACAGGCTTTAATTAAGAGAGGAGACTATATTGATTTTCTTTGGAGAAAACAAACAGATCTATGAATTATTTCACCTCCAATTTACAAAAAAAAAAAAAACAATCTTTAGTTATACAAATATGCAAATTCGTGGAGAGAAAAACTAATATAGATGTCAACAAATTCATGGTAAGTAGGCGGTTGGGGGCTCTGTTTGAGTCCTTGTCGTTGTTCTTAAACAAAAAAACGTGGCGAGTGTAGTGTTAGATGGCCTTCAGATGTTTAAATTTCATATCATTACCTAATATGTGTTACGTGCAAAGCACGCGTTATATACTAGACCATCAAAGTGAATGATATGCGGACTTGGGTAGTTTTTATTAAAAAAATTGATGATTTGCGGGTGATTTTGCAAATACTCTATTTGAGGGATATTTTGCAAGTACACATGCTTTAAGGTGTAAACACTAAAAAAATCATTTATTTGTATTCGATGCATTGCGCAAAATTGTTTCCTTAAACTTGAGTTTGTTAGTTAGAGATCTATCAGGCAATTAAGTCCGACAAGTTAGGTAATAAAACACAGCTTCAATGAATCTCAAATAGAGGTCATTGTCCAAAAATAAACAAAATCCACATCAATGCAAAACTTGATGCTTTAGGCCTACCGAGTCTAACATAATTCATCACAATATATGTGTGACATATTTTTAAACTTTTTCTATCCATTTAGTTCATAAACAACATATTTCATATAACAAATCCCTTTTCTT